CTCCTTTATTACCGTCGTTTAAGCTGCCCCAACCCCATTCCTCTTGTCTAATAGGCTCCCTTCTACTTGAATGTCATCTTCTTTTTTTTGTTTTCATACATTCCTAACATCAGGGAAAACATATGATGCTTATCTAAGTCTGGCCTATTTTGCTTAACATGATGGTCTCCAGTTCCATCTATTTTCCTGCTAATGATATAACTTTGTTCTTCTTTATGGATGAATAATTCTGCATTATAACAAACATTACTGAGGAAGGAGAAAGTAGACAGAGGTGTTCACTTTTCTGCAAGTTACGTATCTCACCCATTTCCATGCTTTGTGAGTTGGGACATAGAATGTTACAAAGATCACTAGACATTCCGAGTTCTGTAAACCTAAAGAAAGATCATTTAGCAGTTAGCATCCTAACCATCTAGGTGGGGTTTCCGTCTAGACTTCAGAATGCTGGGCAAGAGGGTAGGGACAGAAACTTTGCAAAAGGATTAGGAAAGGGCAGAAGGACAAAGAGAGTGGGAAGTGAAGAAACTCTGCCAAACAATTCCCTGAAGGAGCATTTTTGTTACACCTGGGCAGGTCCATTTGTGCTTTGTAAGTAGGGTGACTGTAACTTATTATCCAAGCAGGACAATTCGTCTGGGACAAATGTTGAACTTTTGGATCAGCAACACAACAGCCATGGATTACAACTGTCTTTCAGACACACACATAGAGGCGTGTTTTTATTATTGTTGTTGTTTTGTTTTTTTTTTTTTTCTCCTGGAAACGCCTTGCACTATGGGCTCCTTGCAGTGTGTCTCAAAGTCTTAACAGATCTACACATTAATGCTGGGAGGAGGCACACAGTGTGGTGGGAGGTCCAAGTACAAACTGATTTATGATGGTTCCACTTGGGGTTGTTCAACTTTACCACGGTGAGAAAGTGATATGCATTTGATAGGAGCTAACTTCAAATTTCAAATTTCAAATTATCCTGGGCAGGTGATATATAGGCTGATGCTTGCTCAGGAGGCTGTGGTCCTGCCAGCCACAGGACCACATGGGAGAATAACTGACACTCTCCAGTGTATCGTGTTGCTAAGCCATGACACTAGGTAGGTTAGCTGTTTGAAATGCATTTTCAACATACCATGGGCTTAGCAGGAAATAATCCCATTCCCCTGTGAAGGCAAGGATGGGTTGGGACATGAAAGTAGGCTTGTTTCTAGGGAGCTAGGAACCTCTCCTAGCCAGGCACTCATAAGCAGGTTTAACCTGGAGAAGGTGAAACCCAAGCTGGCCAGGTCAGAGGAAACTGAGGTATAGTCCCCAGGAGCAGCAGTGGGTAGACTGCAGTGGCAGAGAGATAGCAGAGGCGCTGCAGGCATCTCCAGCAGGAGAGCACAGGGTGACAGGCCAGTGAGGATTTCTATTCCTTTGCATTCACTGACTCCATGCCTGCCCCAGCTGACATGGAGTTCCCTACTATTCAGGTGACCCAGAGCCAGGGCCAGGCTTGGGCAGCCAGGAAACTGTCAAGGTCACCCTGGAAACCATCAAGGTCACCCCAGCTGTGCCTAGATAGAAGCTTTAGATAAGAGGGCTTTTCCAAATCCACACCACAGGGAAGCAGAACTCAGGCCCGAGAGGCCCCAGCTGCTACCACCCTTAGGCTGGGGATGGGACAGGAAGCTGAAGGTTTCTGTCTTTCTCTGTAGGGGCAAATGAAGCCACATCCACAAATGGCAGGTGTTCCTCGCTTGTCTTCTCTCCGTTTCCTCTTCTCTGGAAAGCCTGGTTATTTTTATCTTTGTGTGTCATTCTCCCCTCTGGATCACAGGAAGAAGCTGTGGTGCCCAAGAGCACAGCCTGTTCGCCAGGCAACAGAGTAACAGAGCTCCAGATTTGTCACTAACTGCAGTGGGACTTTGGTCTATGTGGGCATGACAGTGGCATTGCTGCAAGGGGACAGGGTGAGCTCACACAAGGGTAGTGGCCAGGACCTGGCTTAGGGTGAAAACTCAACTAAGCATCAGAAAGCTGCAACAGTCTTTATTTTTGGTCCCACTCGTATGGAATATGGGTAAATCCTGACTCCATTGAAAATGGTACCACACCATGAGGGTGAGAGTTACACAGAAGGTAACTGTGGAGAATAGATACCCATGAAGGGTCAAGAGCATCTCACACACTGCAGGAACATTTGGTGAGGTAATCAACTGTGTTATCTTCTGATAAAATATAGGGAAGTTTTCATTCTTAGTTTTGGTTGTTTTGGGAAGCTGTATTGGTTTTTGAAATACTGTCGTGTAATTTAGACATCTGCCTCTTTGCTGCATGTCCTGTGTTCCCTAAATCCTGGTCTTCCTCTCTGGCCTTGAACTCAGCCCCAGAACTTTCTCCTGTCCTCTCTGCTTCAAAAACTGCACTAAGAGAGAAGCTTCAGATCGACAAAATGAAATAGCTAGTTTATAAAATTTCATAA